TGTGTGTGTGTGTGTTCCCACCCTGCCTGGCTTGTGTGTGTTCCTGTGTGTGTGTGTGTGTGTGTGTGTGTGTGTGTGTGTGTGTTCCCACCCTGCCTGGCTTGTGTGTGTGTTCCCACCCTGCCTGGCTTGTGTGTGTTCCCACCCTGCCTGGCTTTCACATGGGTGTTCAGGATTCAAACCAACGTCTTCACACTTGTTCACAGCACTTTACCCACCATGCCTTTTCCTCAGCCCTGAACACTGCTCCTCCCCATTTTGAGGGGCAGGTCTGTGTGTTGCTCAGCCTCGCCTCAACCTCTAGTCCCAGCTGACGCTCCTGCCTGCCTCAGCCTTCTAAGGACCTGGGGTATTTTTTTCTGTTTAAGAAAGAAATATGTATTCCTCATTTGGAGGCCAAGGAGGAGCTGAGATACCATGCTTGCCTGGTATGCACTGGGGCCTGGGTTCCCACGAGACGTGGTGCGGTGGCCCATCCCTGTGCTCCCAGAATTTAGGGAACAAAGGCAGAAAGGTCAGAGGGTCAGTTATCCTTGCCTGTAGAGGTCCCAGGCCAGCCTGGGCTACATAAGACCCTGTCTCAAACAAAATAAAACAACCTACCCAGATCAAACCAAAACAAAGATGGAAATATATATTTCTTGTTTGCTTTTTAAATCTGTAATCCAAACAAGGAAAATAAGCACAGGGTAGATTTTTATTTTTAATGTAGTTAATCTCTGGTAAAATAGGTAATATTGTCGTAAGGCTCCAAACTGAAAAAGCATAGAAAGGTACAGAACGTAGTGAAAGTCTCCCGAAATGACTCTCCCCATGGGCAGCCATTGCTACCAGTGTATTTCTTTTCCTCATGAAGTAGAATTGGGGCTTAATAAGCATTGTTTTTAGACTTTAAAAAAGTGTGTATGAGTCTGCATGTATGTGTGTGCACCCCATGCATGCCTGGTGCTTTTGGAGGCCAGAAGTGTTGGATTCCCTGGAACCAGTATTACAGATGGTCGTGAGCCTTCATGTGGATGCTGGGAACTGAACCCAGGCCTTTGCAAGAACAGCCAGTGCTCTTAACCACTGAGCATCTCTCCAGCCCCAATAAAAATATTTTAATGTAGGCCTGAGCATGGGACTGAAGAAAGAGGCCCTCAGAAGGAAGCGAGACGCACCTGGAAGCACAGGTGTGGGCTTCTGGAGTCACCAGCGTCTGTGTGTAAATCAGAAAGATTCAGATGTAATACGTCTGGATTGCTTTCTAGATTATTTAAGGTTATTGTAATTCTAGTGGAGAAAGCATATCTCAGAGGAAGAGAAATTCCTTGTTATTGAGGAGGCTTCGAACAGCAGGAGGCCCAGATGTGTTTGCTAGCCACCATGGAGGGCTGAGGGAAAAGCACTCATGGTGGGTTTTCCTTCCCCACAGCAACTCCTTCTTCGCTGCCCCTCCTCTACCAGCTGGTCCAGCTCTTCCGCCGGATCCAGAAGGCCACACTCTCTCGGCTCTACCCACTCGCCCTCCGTGACTGAGTGGTCCTGCCCCGGCTGCCTTGGCCTCCTGCAGTCCACAGCTACAGAAGCAGAGATGTTGTGTCCGGTGGCTGAGCCCCAGCTGGCTCTGTGGGCCCGGGCCCACATCGTTCCAGAGAGAGAGACACAAAGGCAGGTGAGCTGTGGCTGGCTGCCTGTGAACCCTCCCTTTGGCATCCCACTGTGAGGGGGCCTCAGAGGGAGTGTGGAAATAGTGATGCCCAAGGCCCAGCCACCCAGAGCAGAGGTCTGGCTGCCCAGAACAGTTCTCTTACCTCTTACTGCAACAGCTCCTCAGAAAGGCAGGGTTCCAGAGCAGGGAATATGTCTTGAAACACTGTTGTCTTGACAAAGGCCGAGGGTGCTTTCCAGGCTGGGTGCTGAGGGAGCTGGGGGTCCACAAACAACTGGTGGAGTGGCCTTTGGCCTTCGGCTTCTGAGAAACTTACCTCTGAGAATTGCTCCACTGCACAGTATTTGAGTTCCAGTGAAACCAGAGCTGCCTCTTCTCCCATGCTCCTCCCACAGGCGCCAGAATTACGAGTCAGTGGACCATCCCCTCCAGCTGGTCCTCCAGTCGGGCAGGAGGCTTCTGCCTGAGGCGGTTTGCTATTCAGGCAGAATGTGGCTTCTGACCCACCAGGTGACCGCTGGGAGCACAGTGAGCCTGCCTGACCTTATCTCTGGGGAATGTGATCTTTCTTGGTGCCTCTTAGTCTTAGCTCAGTTTTCCAGGATGCCAGGGGCCAAGCACAGCTCTCGTGGACCCACTGTACCCCACTACCCTTTGACCTGTCCAGCTAGCTCTGGCACACACTGTGGCAGGTCCCTCTCTGTGCCCTGCTGTCCTAGTTGCTGTCTGTGGTTTGTATAATGCCCGTGTGGCACGGGAAGTAGGCCAGTCTCAGAGCTCTGAGAGCTGAAAATGGAACTGGGTAATCAGGTGATCTGGAAGAGCCGAGGGGGCTGGGCCAAGGGGGCTGATGGGGGCCGAAGGGACAAACCCCAGGGGCGAGGCACTGGACTTGTTTCAGCTTTTCTTTTGATGACCACAAAGGTCTCGAATGTTTCTGTCTAAATAAATGCAGAGCATTCTGGTCCCGCCAGTGTGGCGGCCTTCAGCCGGCCACCCATGCCAGATCTCTGTCAGAGTGGATGATGGGAATGCACAGAGGGTTTGCTAGCTTTTTGCTGGTTGATTTTTAGGAACTGTGAGTCAACAGTTTCTCCTTAGAAGAGGAAACTTGACAGACACTTAGAATTCCATCTGAATCCTGAGGACTTGGGAGCCTTGATAGCCTTTCCCTGTCCGTTTGTGTATGGCTTTTAAATAGACCCCGGCTCACTGGGAGAGAAAAGGACTCGGGAAGGGTTGGAATCCCTTGATGAGGATTCCTCTCTTGCTTGCTTTTGACTTGGGAGTTTCACTGTTGTTACTCGGCTTGGCCCAGGACTCCAGGACTCGAGCGATGAACTCCACCCACCAGTGGAGTTCTTGAATATTTGTGACTCCCAGCTCTTTCTCTTCCCCAGCCTCCATCTCAAGCCCCCCATGCAGTGGTGACTTGGTGGTGGTGGGGTTGTTTGCCCCCTCCAGTGCTGGAGCTTTTGGAAGCTGCAGATCAAGGCTCACATCCCAGAGTTCAGCCTTCTCATCTGTAAGTCAGCCTTTAGCTCCCAGGGACTCGCACATGCGTAAATGGGCACATAGGAAGCCCTTGGCACATTCTCCTGCCCTGAGGAAGAGTTCTCGTGAGTGGTTGCTGAGCCGAGGCCTAGCTGAGCATGCGTAAGTGCTCAGAGGGGTGAACAAGTGGGCGATGGAAGAGGGCGTGTGCTTTTGGCAGCCTGTGCGGTCCCCTGCTATGAAACCTGGAATGTATAGGCTTGGTTGTGCCCAGCTTGTCTCTCTGCTCTCTCCCGATCCTCTCCGTGGGGCTCTGGTTATCCTCCCGAACGCTGCAGGGCTGTCTGTACCCAGCCCTAACCGCCTGCCAGTCAGGTGAGGAACTTGCAGCCCAAACTGCTGCTGTTACTCTGGCCTTTCCAAGGATGTAGGCTGGTCCTCAGCTCGGGGCTTAACGAGGCCAGAGTGAAGGGAGGGCCTTCTTGGTAGACCAGTACGGTAGCCATCAGCCAGAGGTGGCTTTTGAGCATGAAATGGGGCTCATCTATGTAGACACATTCTGTGATTGTAAAATGTACACACTAGATGTCAAAGACCAAGTACTAAAACATAAAAATAAAACTAAAATGAAAGAATGGAAATACAAAGATTTTTATATTGATTGAATGTTGAAATGATAATATTTTGAATATATTGGGTTAAATAAAATCTACTGAAACTAATTTCAGCTGTTTCTACTTTTTGTAGCGTGGCTTTTGGAGTGTTTAAAATGTCTTATGCTGCATGCATTTGAACAGTGCTATTCAAGACACCACACATACTGGCCGGTTTCAGAGGGGGATTGATGTCGGAGAAGAGCAGTGCATGCTGGGATCGGGAGATGCTGGGTCTAGAGCCGGCTCAGTTGCAGATGGTATCTTGCAGCCACCTTCTTTTTCAGTTAACGAAACCGAGACTCAGAAAGGTGAAACCATTTGTCCTAAGTCACAGCCTGAATAAGACCCAAGCCTCCTGACCCTCCTAGTGTTCTTCCCCGGTCCCTCCTGCCTCAGTCTTCTCTGCCGCTCTCTGGCTGGAGTTCATGGTTAAGAGGGAGATGTCTCGGAGAGGGAAAACTAGATAGAATCGATCAGTTTTCAGGTGTCTGCGGTGTGTGACATAGAACAGGTGTTCTGACTTAAGGGGTGCTTGGGATAGCCGGAGCAGGAGTCCCGTGCTTAGACAGGAGGCTGCGCTGGGTGGGTGGGTGTGTGAGTGGGTGGGTGGGTGGGAGGGATCGGGTGGAGGTGACGGAGAGCAGCAGCAGGAGAGCTGGCCTCTGAAGGAGGACATGAAGTTCTAAGAAGACAAGAGGCATGTAATGTCCCCTGCTCTTTGCACATATATGTACATATGCATACATTTGCATGTATATGTGCACATGCGTATACGAAGACATAAATATATTAGAGGTTTACACATACAAAGCAATACATAAGTTATGAAAGGGTTATTTTGGGAAAGAAAATCTGTCCCTTCCACACATTCATTTCTATGCCTCATTTTCTGCCCCAGGGCAACTGCTGTTCACCTACCCTTCAAGTTTTCCTTTCTCTTACACAATAATAGTGTATTACTGCTCTTACATACCCTTGACACACTTAAAGAGAAAAAAAATCCCCAACCACTTCATTAATCAAGGGGACTTTGCCCCCTGTGAGCACAGGTGGATCTGCCTCATTTTTCATAGCTGCTAACAAGATCACTTTTTCATTTAAAAACAAAAACAGGGCCCGGGGAGATGGCTTAGTGGTTAAGATCACTCATCATCATTGCAGAGGCTCCTGACTTGCCTCCCAGCCCCCACATGGTGGCTCAGCCATCAGCAACTCCAATTCCAGGGGATCTGACACCCTCCGCTGACCTCCTCAGGTACCAAGCACATAAGTTGTGCACACACATACATGCAGGCAAAATACTCACACCCATACATAAATCTAAGAGTTAAAAACAAAAACCAAGCTGGGCGGTGGTGGCACACGCCATTAATCCCAGCATTTGGGAGGCAGAGGCAGGTGGATCTCTAGGCCAGCCTGGTCTACAAAGCGAGTTCCAGGACAGGCTCCAAAGCTACACAAAGAAACCCTGTCTCGAAAAACAAAAACAAAAACCAACCAAACAAACCAAAAACAAAAACAACTTTCGAGATGGTGTCTGGCCATATTGCCAGGACTGGTCTTGAACTCCTGCTTCAGCCTCCTGAGTGCCGGCACCCCGGCCTCATTTTCCCATCACATTGCTGGAATCTGTCTCCCTCTCCCAGGTTTAAGATCCACAGGAGCTGGTCAGAGCTCTTTATTATCACTTCACACAGAGCGGCTGCCAGACTAGCCCCCGTGGTCACTGCCCCAGCCACAGTCTGGGTGTCTGGCTGGAGGGCAGGCCTGTGTATACTGTCTGGACTTCCAGGTTTTCCCTAAGCCTGTAGTCTGCCCCTGCAGCTGCTGGAAGAAGACATGACTGAAAGAGAAAGGTTTGGTGTGAACAGCCTGCAGGGGACTGTGAGGGATGGCCTGACTTTCCTCCCTTTGTACGGAAAAGCTGCAGGAATAGTGAACTTTGACCTCTGCCCCGCTTTGGGGTGTGGTGAGTTTACCCTCTGCCTTAGTTGGGCAAGCTGCTACGGCCTGGCCCTGGCTGGCCTCACTCCGCTCTATGCTCTCCCTCTGTTTATTTCCTCCTTCAGTGTGTTGACTAGAAGTTAAATGCAGTAGGCACGGTGCCTTGAACCATTTCGCAAGCCCTACTCTGGATTAAGTCATTCCAGATGGTGTTAGCCTCTAGGCCTTTTGATGACACACATGCTCCTCTCTTTTCTGGTGCTGGGAATGGATGTAATTTGGGGTCTCACATATGCTAAACGTAACCATGACCACTCAGCTGGACCCCAGCCCTGAGTTCCCTGACTTAAAAGCATTGCTTTAACCTGTCTGCTTATCTGAGGTCACAATGTTCACAATTTCTGTTGCTACTGGTAAACCTCGGAGGGTCCCAAACTGAATGTGTGCAATACAGTAAGATTCTGAGAAAGAGAGCGAGAACATGCCTATCATTTATTACAGTGTTACTGTGATCATTCTAATTACTGTCAAGTGTGTGATTGGTTACATACTGCATCCAATTTATAAACTTAAAATTTTATTTAATCATTGTGTGTGTGTATATTATTGTCACAGCACCTGTGTGGATGTCAGAGGACACCTGTGGGAATTGGTTCTTTCCCTTCACCATGTGGGTCCCAGGGATCAACCTTAGTCTTTTTTTTTTTTAATTTATTTATTTATCATGTATACAGTGTTCTGCCTGCATATATCCCTTCAGGCCAGAAGAGGGCGCCAGATCTCATTACAGGTGGCTGTGAGCCACCATGTGGTTGCTGGGAATTGAACTCAGGACCTCTGGAAGAACAGCCAGTGCTCTTAACCTCTGAGCCATCTCTCCAGCCCTCAACCTTAGTCTTTAGGCTCTGCTGCAAATACCTTATCTCCTGAGCCATCTTGCTAGCCCCTGACCTATTAATTAATTAATTAATTAATTAATTAATTAATTAGAGACAGGTTTTCTCTGTGGTTCAGTCCTGGCTGTCCTGGAACTCACTTGGTAGCCCAGGCTGGCCTCAAACTCACAGAGATCCACCTGCCTCTGCTTCCCAAGTGTTGGGATTAAAGGCGTACACCACTGCCACTCAGCACAGCCCCCGATTTATTATCTTTATCATGTATACTCCAATTCAGATGTATATGATATACATATGTTATCTATATTAGGATTTGCCATTATCACCAGTCTCAGGGCATCCACTAGGGGGAGTCTCTCGACTTCTTCGGTGAGGTAGGGGTACTCTGTGTGTGTGTGTGTGTGTGTGTGTGTGTGTGTGTGTGTGTGTGTGTGTGTAGCATGAAGATCCACCTAACCAAGCTCGTCTCAAACTGAACTCACTATGTTCAGGCAGAGGATGGCCTTGACTCCCCAAGCTGCTGGGTTTAGGCCTGTGTTACCATGACCGAGTTAGCTTTTTAAAGTTTTGTTTTGTTTTTGATGTAAATGCCCAACCTTGGCAGCTTGAGAACCTGTGGAGGAAATAGCAGTTTGCACTTGAGAGAGACTGAGGGGTAATTAGGCATTCTCTGCTCCAAGGGAAATGAACTTGGGACAGGGCTATAGCATGGTGGCCTGGCCACCAGGGCCAGATCTGAACACAAGCTGGAGGTTGTGTTCTAGTTTGGATGCTTCTGACTCACGCTCATGTCTTTCTCCTACTTTCCAGTAGCCTCTTGAAACTGTTTAGCACCCTTGTCCCTTTCCTCCTGTCTGAGGTGGGAGTGATGGAGTAGATGGAGATTGACAAGCATAAGATGACATTTGAAGACTTGGTTGAAAATCCAAGCAATTTTTTTTTTTTTTTGAGACAGGGTTTCTTCGTGTATTTTTGGTGCCTGTCTTGGATCTCACTCTGTAGACCAGGCTGGCCTCGAACTCACAGAGATCTGCCTAGCTCTGCCTCCCAAGTGCTGGGATTAAAGGTGTGTGCCACCACCACCCAGCAAAAAACCCAAACAATTTTTGTAGACATTTTTCAGTTTGAAAACAAAACAAAACAAAACACTTTAAGAATAGTATCCTGTTGTTTATATGGAGATGTTCCTTGGGCAGAAAACCAATTTGTATGGCTAAACTGTAACCAACAGTTCTCACCCTCAGAGGTGTTAGATTCTGGAATAAAGAATTCATACGCCCCCTCCCACACTGTGCTGGGGATAGAATCCAGCATCTGAAGCGTGCTAGGCTGTGCTCTGTCCCCAAGCCTCTCCTTCCGCCCTCTCTCTACTTTCGCCTAAAATGCCTGTCCCCCAGGGCGGCAGTACACCATCCCCTTGCTCAGCTGCATGCCTTCACCTCTGTGTGCTGTGGGGTGTTGCTTATGTATAGGGAGGTGGGGTGAGTGCTCCAGGGTGAGGTGGGGTGAGTGCTCCAGGGGTGAGGTGGGGTGAGTGCTCCAGGGTGAGGTGGGGTGAGTGCTCCAGGGTGAGGTGGGGTGAGTGCTCCAGGGGTGTGATGGAGGTTGTTTTTCTCATCCTTTGCTCTCTCTTGGAAACTAGTTTTATTTCTGTGAATTCAGCTACCACTACCTTCTTCACTTGGAAGTTTCCCCGCTCTGTTTCTGAACTCTCAGGGTTTGCTTGTCTCCATTCCCAGCTACAGAGAGAACTCGACCCATGCAGAGCCCTCATGTTCCCATTCCCAACCGTCAGCCTTTGCTCTTGTTCCTCACTGGCTCAGTCCCAAACCCACTCATGTCTAACGTCCGTTCTTCACGTTTCCATAGTGTATCTAACCTGATAGCAACTCACTCTTCAGCCATGTTCCTTTTTCTGTGAGGTCAATGCTGTTGCCACTCCCGAAATATGTTTCTCTTTTCAGACATGTTCTTTCACCTAATAATAAACCGTTCATTTCATTCAGTCAGGAGGCACATTTTGAGGGGGCTCATAGAGTGTCTCTCCTGCCTCACACTGCTGAGATGTATCTAAGCACTTTCCGTATATTAACCAATTGGATCTTGCAACTCACCGGTGAGGCCGGGATGGAGAGGACAAAGTAGATAGATAGATAAAGCTCAGAAACTTGCTCAGCTTGTCTTGGCTGTTAGTGGTGCTGGGATTCGAACCTAGGCAGACTGGCA